GTGGGCTGTGCATCAGGTGCAGTCCTGATGCAAATCTTGAGCTAAATGGACAAACGTCTGCTGTGCTTCCCCACCCCACTTGAACACACAGTCTACATGGTAAAGCAAGCACAAAGTAATTTCCCCGAATGCTTACCTCGAAAGAAGAAAAGTTTTGAAATTCTGTTCTGTAGGGTATTCAGTACTTTCCTATCAGGGTGGTTATTTATGGTCCTTAATTCGGTCTTCATCCTGCTTTCTAGTGGCAGATCTGTTTGTCCTTTGTTTTCTATGACCCTCAGGCTTAACACTCCAGAGAAACCCTTTCCACTTTCTTCCATGGCCACATGTGGAGTGATGGGGGAGGCATGAACCTTCTTTTAAACCACCCAGGTCCCTCACCCTTCCTGGAAAAGGTTGACACCCTGTGTTAATTTCAAACAATCATAAGCATCTATAGCCCAGATTTGCATCTTCTTGGGCAGCACTACAATCTCAGAAATTTAGTAGAGTTCTCTAAAAGATATTTGATATCTTTTAGCAGCATGTGCTAAACCACATCTTCAGGGTCTTTTGTTTGCTTGTTTGTTTTTGAGACATTTTCTCCTGTACTATATATCTTTGATGTATCACCCCTATATGTCTCTCTCAATTTAAAGGGAGCTACCTTAAAGCTATCAGGCTTCAGTGGAAGAGCACATCATTAATTGGATCTTTGCCCTGAGTCATTTTGTCCAATTGAAAGAATTTATGGAGTGTCACACCCTTAGTTTATCTTTCCCCTGAAGCATTTTAATCTTCTAAAGGTTTTATCTGGCATTTGTTATCTATGGATTTCTCAATCTTATCTTTTACTACTAGGGTATAGAATTAGTAAATTTTCTCTAAAACCCCATAAGGCCGTGGATTTTCATGCTGTATCTCTATTCTGTTCACTCCTATAAACAATCTGGACGGTAGTCTCCTAAACTAATTTCTTCCTTTTAATACTTATCCATAGCATTCTTTAGCACCCCAGTCATGATACTAGCATTCAGTTTCCAACCTTGTAGAACTACAAGTTCATTAGGGATATGATCTGTACCCCAAGTTTCAAGAGTCAACAGTTTCATTAAATTTTTCATTGTAAGCATAACATAGATTACATTTTTGCAATGCCACATTGCCTTACTCTTAGTATCTGTTGTCAGTACAAGCTAAGAGAGAAAATGATTTAACAGTACAGAGGGTTAATATTCCAGTAAGAGAGTGTAAAGGACTCTGTACCACAAAGTCACGTAAGGTCCAGGCCAATGGAAACTCTGCCATTTTGTATTAGTGCCATGTGGGCCACACATGTTCCTTGATTGCTGTGGTTGAGAAGGGAGAGAATGGATAATGATCCGTGTGGAATTTTTAATGCCTTGGCTCAAAAAAAGGCACACATCACCTTTGCTTGGATTTTATTGGCGGGAACCTCATCCCAACTGGAAGGAAGTTGACAAATGCAGTGGTGTAGATGGAATGCTTGTATCTAATGTGCACCACTACTTCTGACACACTGAGAGACAGGTTGCAGGTATTGCCATTCTCTTTAAAAGAGGTAATGATGCCTAAGAATGCTGCTGTCTGAAGATGGTGGAAGTGCTTAGAGTCTGGGTATATTTTGAAGAAAGTCTCCAAAAAGATTTGCTGCTGTCACAGGTGACTCCTAACCTTTATCTCCTCCCACTGTCTTATCACCCAAACATATGTGGTTTCTTTGTGAGCCAGGTTTATCCTTTTATCTTATTTTTCTGTGGGGCCTAGAAGATAGATACTCAGTACCTATTTACTGAGGAATGAAACAATGTAGCCACTTAATTTCACAAAATTCACAAGATTTTAATAGCAGCAATTAATTGCTGTAGGGAATACTTTAAATATTATCTTGATTATTATAACAATAATATATGTGAATGAAAATAATGCTGTGGGTTTCAAAAAATTTTTAAGAAAGTACTGTGTAGTCACTATGTGACTTTGTATACTATGTATACAAAGAATTTCAAAAAATTTTTAAGAAAGTACTGTGTAGTCACTATGTATACAAAGAAATTACTGTTTCTTACTCTGGTACATTTCTTCAATCATTCTTCTAGTTCTGCTTCTTTCATCATAGAACAGTTTAAAGAAAGTAAATGGTTCCATATAAATTCAGTGGTAAACTTAATCACACTCTGGAGTCTTTTAACAGTGAACCTGTTTTTACAAAGTAAAGTGGTGAAAAGAGTGAATTAAGTCAAATGCCTTGTCAGTTAAAAGCCCTTCCATCTTTTATTATAATATCATTCTAGTTATGTGAAACCGTGGTTATCTCAGGAAAATTATCTAAGGGCTATTTATTTATGCTAAGAATTGGGTTATTATTGGAAATAGTTTCTGACTTTGAAGGATCAATTAAAGTAGGAAAAAGAAAGCACCTTTTTTTGATGGTGCTGTGGTGATGAGGTCAAACAGTTTGAGCTCTTCAGAGCAGTCACTTGCCTCTCATGACCAAGAGCAAGTTTTATGATACCACAGCGTTCAGAGTGAGGTCCAGGCTCACTAATGCTGAGGAAACAAAGCTGACATGCATTTCAGAGAAGGTGGGTCATCATGCATGTGGATTTCAGAGCAGAAGACTTGCCAGTGGACTGGCCATAGTGACTGCAGAAACAGATGAATCTGGGTTGACCCCACATGTTTGCTGTTGAAGCAAGACTAGGAATTGCTCTTGCCAGGAATAGGGAAGCAATAGACAAAGCACATAATGGCACCTGAAAATGATGAAATGTCCGGGCTGGAGCCTTGGGTGTGGGTTCTAATTATACTGTGATGCATGAATGCTAACTTGGAGCCAGTGTGTGAAAATCCTTGAGTTTCATGATAAAGAATTTGAGAAACTTACAAAAAAAGAGTTTTCTGAAAGAGAAATACATGACAGATTCCTTAGAAAAATTAAAAACTAACTGATAAAGGGAGGATAGCCTATGTTTGTCCATTGGTTAAATTAAAAGTCAACTCTCCCTTTCTGAGCACTTACTGTTGGTAAGCCACTGTGCTGAATGTTTTACATATTATCTAATTGAATTTCTTAAATCGACATTATATGGTAGGTGGCATTTTTCACATTTTGCAGTTCTAGAAACTAAGACAAAGGTCACGTGTTTTCCCTTATGTGAAAGGTAGACCTAAAAGATAGATGTGTACATAAATACATGTATGATTTTATATACCTACATATATAGACATATTGAAAGAGAGGGAGGAAGGGAGAGAGAGAGAGATATGATTGTAATAGTGGATCTGTACAAGGGGATTACAGAGAAGCAGGTGAGGAAAAAGGGAATGATAGTGAATAATACTGAAATACGTTGTATCTTTCTATGAACATAGTATAATAAAATGCATTGTAAGCTGTTGAACAATAGGGAACAGGGTGATAGAGAAAGAGTAAGAAATAGAGGGACTTAATCTGAGTGAAGTATGATATGACCATGTATGAAATACCATGGGGAAACTCCCTTGAACAATCAATGTATGCTTCAATAAATGAAGGACGTGAAGGTAAAACAGGTCCTGTCCAGGTGGAGAGCACCAGTGGGAGGGGAGAGAGTAAATGGGGACTGTGAAGGAGGACAAATACGATCTATGCATTTTGTATACATGTATAAAAATTTAGCAATGAAACTTGTTGAAATTATTTTAAGAAGGAGGGAAAGGGGATGATGGAAAATAATGGAGGAGGTTAATCTAATTAAGATACATTGTAAGCACATATGTAAATGTCACAAGGAAACACCACCCCCCACGCAACTAATATCTGCTAATTAAAAAAAGAAACTAAGGCTTGAAGCAGTTTGTAAGGTTGCCAGGTAACTGGGACCAGGTAGTAAACATTAAGCATGGGCTTTCTGAGTTTACCTTTCTTCCAATTCACTATGCATTCATTCCAAGGTCATTGATAAGGGCCAGTTAAGCCTTAGACAACAGGGATCACATCAGAACCTACATAAGTGCAAGGGGACACATTGTTTCTCCCAGGACCTTACTTACACCTGTGACTACCCGCCTTCCCTGTTGGCTTGCTAGCTTACTGGTGAGACTCTTTCACACCACATAATAGGCTAGGAAGGATGTTTGACAGCTGATATATCCAAATAATTCCCCAAGCTTATAATATTTCTTGGGGAAATAAAACACAAAAGAATAAAAAAAAAGATTCAATATACTGCATTGTTCTTTTTTTTATTGTGCTGGAGATACATTGTGGCACTTACAAAAGTTCTTACAGTATATCAAATATATCACTCTTATTCAGCCTTGATCTGCTTCATCATTTAGCAACAACCACCATGCACTCTGTCACACACTGTCAGAGTCTGTGAGGAAGCAGAGATGATCCGGGAAAGCTATGTAATGTATGATAATAGGAACATTCCCTGGGTAACCATGTGGTCTATATTCTGGTTTTTGTTTTTTTGTTGTTGTTGTTTTGTTTTATTTTTCTTTTCTTATGATCTAGATTCTGGTTTTATTTATTTTTGTTTTGCCTTTCCCTTTTCCTTTCCTTTCAGCAGGGTCTTTCTGTAGCCCAGGTTGTCCTCAAACTCATGATCCTCCTGACTTAGCATTCTGAATACTGAGATGGCAGGCATACCAGAAGCCACCACCCAGAAGCATGTGTTTCCTTTGGATTATTTCCTTATAATGAATGACCAGAACTGGAAACTATGGTTGTAAATGACTCCTAATATTTGCACTATAATTGCCAGTCAAGGTGGATCCCACTTTCATCTATCCCAGTATTACCTGCTTTGAGTGTTACCATTTTTTAAAATCTATATTTCTAAGTTTTCTTTTCTTCACAGAAGAAAAACTAGTTAAAGTCTTATTTATTGATTAAATTATGTATGTTAAAATTTCACTTTTATTCTCTCTACCTCACTAATGCCTTATTTAATATGCCCATCAAATATAGGCATGTTTGTCTAACTTTTGTTTAATACCTTTTTTTTAAGCTATCTGTAGAAGCACGTGAACAGATAACTAGAAAGGCCATTAAGACAGTCAAACGTTTTATTGAGAAGCCAAGGAAAAGAAATTCAGAAGAAGACATTCAAGTAGCGAGTGATTCTAAAGTTACCCATGTAGACGCTTTGAATCATCTGGAGAAATCACTTGCCCACCTGGAAACCCTCAGCGACAGCTTCATCGTTTCTCTGAAGAACAGTGAGCAGGTAATGAAAAGAAACTCACTCCCTCAGTACCACGACATTCTTTTATGTCTTCTTTAACATCACATTAGTAGTTGAGTTAGTCAGCTATCTATTAACTGTAGCAAACAGTGTAATAATGAGAAAGCTGTGGCTATTCCTAGGTGACCAGCTGATAAAGAGGAAGGTTCATTTTGCTAACAGCTTTCAAGGTTTCAGACCATGACCAGTTGACCCTTTGCTTTGGGCCTGTTGTGGCACTTGATGGCAGGAACTCATGGTGGAGCAAAACCACTTACCTAATGGCCAAGAAGCAAAAGAATAAAGGAGAAAGGGGCTGGAGTCGCACTATCCCCTCCAAGGTCACATCCCCAAAGACCTGAAGCTCTCTCCCTGGGCCCCACCTCTTAAAGGTTACATCCTCCAACAGCACTGCCTTGGGGACCAAGCCTTTTACCACAGGGGCCTTTGCTGAACACTTAAGATCCCAAGTATAGCAGTCATTTTCAGGCTTGCAAATGCTCTTGGAAATGGTCCTCACGCCTTTGTCCTTTAACACCTTCATTATCACTTGATTACCAGTCTACTTTTCACTCTTTGGAAAGGAATTTGGACCACTCAACACAGATAATACCTGGGAGGGAAAGGGTGACAGGGTGTGAAGGGTAGGAGAAAAGGAGGTGAATAGCAAGAGTTGAAGGAACACTGGGTAGATGACTGGAGTGAAGAGGGCTCCCTAAAGTTAAGAAATGCTGAAATATATAGGTTTTCAAGCTCTTCTAGCTCTGGATGTTTTGCTCTCCAGTTGGATAGCTGAGACTCTGGTATTACAGAAACACCATCGTGAGGCTCAGGAGGCCCTGCTCTTGGTGAGGTCTTAGGACTATGTATCAGCACTGCACAAGGAAACAAGAAGCCCTGTGAAGCCTTCAGAGATTTTCTTCTTATTTTAACAGTTGTGAGAGTTTAGATATTCTTTTCCATAACTGAGAAGTTGACAAATCCCATATAAATAAATGATTTTCATATAAGTAAAAGCAGTATTTAGATACATAATATTCCATTTGCCCTTCAGCGACAAGAAGTAGCCACTAATTTCGTCTTTCATTCTTCTTCAGTCATACACACTTACTGAATTGTATTCTTGGCTTACAGAAAAATTTCCTGACTAGAAAGATCAGACAGTGGAGAGGAATTCAGATAATGATTAAATGGAAGACTTGAACATTTGTGCGAGGCATATAAATGCAAAGCCTTCATTTAAAAGATAATGAGAGGAATTACAAAGTTTGATAGTAGTGTTATTTCATTTTGTATTTTCCAGTTCCTATTAGCCTGTCTAATGAATACTGCTGAATAATGGTATGAACAATATAGAAACCTTTGTAGGAAGCAAATTGACTTTACCAAATCTTGATTTTTATCATGCTAGCATTTACAGAACCATAATCCATAGTTACAGGAACTAGGTAAAATTTGACTCTTCAATGAAAGTGACTTATACTTATTAGGATAAAGTTTTTTCAATACTTATTTGTACATATGTTATTAAAATCAAAAGAATTAGCATTGTTCTCTTTGGAACAAATACTGTCTATCAATGACTGGAGTGATATATGTTAGTTCAAGGGGTTTTATTAACAAAAATATCTCATTTTATCTGGGCTATGATTTAAAGGTTCTATATGTATTGCTCCTTGTGGGTACAATTCAGTCAGACCATGTTTGGTTCCTGATGGGAGACTATGCAGTTCCTAAGTTGGGCATCATTTGATTTTATTAAGGCACTTTTCATAATAAAAAGTTAGAAATAACCTTAAATCCACACACCGGTCCCTTTCAAGTTCAGACATTGATTTTTAACATTAAAAACCTCTTTAATTTTATACAATAAAGAACATCGTGTATCTTAATGAAGGTTTGTGCAAACTAAGTGAAAGACCTTCATCCTATGGAGCCTTTTGTTCCTTTTTCTCTTAGTAATTACTTTGCCTAACTCATAGGGATTTTTCTTTTTAATAGAGGATTTCAAGCTCTCATTTTCCCAACCTCAGTGTCAGCAATTCTCAAACATATCCAATTTTCTTTCATGCCTACCCTACCTATCCTCAGCTCATGCCTGTGGATTATTAAGCAAATCTCCATCATCCTTCATTTTACACATAAGTACCTTCCTATCTGTTTCTAAAAGATTTTTTAGTAAACTCATGTCAGTTTTCTGCAGCTGAACCAAAGTCAGTCTTAAAATAACTTGAGAATAAAGAACCATGAGACTGTTTTCTCATTGATACTATGCATAACATATACTGACCAACTTCAGGTTGGACTCTTTCCCTCCTCAAATTATTCTTGAAACCACTACAATGTCACAATAAAAAATTAATAGTAATTATTTAATATCATCAAAAATCCAGCTAATGTTCAGATTTTTACATGGTGGTTTTGAAAATAAAACACTATATTTAGGGTCTGAGGGCATGGCTCAAGTGGTAAAATGTCTGCTTAGCAAGTGCAATGCCTGAGTTCAAACCCCAGTACCACTAACACCCCCCCCCAAACAAAACAAAACATCCCATTATATTCTGGATTGCTTGGGAAGCTATGAACAATCTAGAAAATGTTATTGTAATTTATTTGCCATATATAGTATGATGAAGACAATAGATTATGTCTGTTTCTTAAGTTATTTGTTAAAACATTAGTTCTTATACATGTTTTCAAAGAGAGACAGACAGTATGGCATGGAAGTAGGAAGAATAGATTTCACATTATTTTTTTAGTTGTTTTTGAGAG